CAGACACGGTATACAAAGGCACGAAATAAAATAAAGCCTAATTGGAGCGCTTTTAGCTGCAATCGCAGGTCGCAGATGTTAGGACAAATGCGAAACACAAAAAAACGCAATTAATCAGCCCGGAGGAAGTGTTTTAAATGAAAGTGAGCAGCACGAAGTGGAAACACTCTTTGCCTTGCAAATAACCACTGATGATCACTGGACGGCGGTTAAATAGTTCCTGGCTCTTGGCCTTATATCCAAGAAATATTAAAACCAACTTGACATGGCGAAGTAAAACCCCTTTGGCAGTCATACTAACATACATAGTTGCCAACAATGTACAGCTACGAATTGATTTTTTTAAATAGGTGTAATATATTCTTTAGAATTCTCATCAATAAACTAAGCTTTTATCGATTTCAATTAATTAATAATTTTCAAATTCCTCCATTCAGATATTTACGTATTTCCATAATATGACTCTCTGTCTTAACTGCACCCAAATGTGGCAGAATTACAAAAATAAAAATAATAATAAATAAATTAGTAAAATAATGTTAAGCCCATAAACCCAAGCATTAACCTAACTAACACTCCACGAATTAAAGCGCATATGGCGTTTATATAAAAATCTACTCGCCCTGCGTTTCGAACATTGCCATTAATTTATTTAATGTTGCAAATAAAGTCGATCGATGAAAAGATGCAAAACAAAAGGAAGCAAAAAACGGCGATTTCAAATGTGCCGCGGCCTGCGAATCGCTGTGCGTTGATTTTGATTAATTTGCCCAGCCACTTTCGCCCAATTTACAGCATTGAATCCGCGATCGGTATTAATGAGCTGAGTTAATAATGCACGGGCCCGGCACCCACAACCCACAACCCACCAGAGCCAGAAAATCTGAGGGACCGAACTGGACAGATATTATGTAAACGATTTGGCTTTTCTGGAGAGTCGCTGCTAAAGCAAAATTGAACCATCGAGTGTTATCGATCGCCGGCGATTTGCATAACTCGATGATCTACGATCGATTTAATTTCGCATTTCGAGTTGTCGCTACTGTTTGCCGATGTCATTTGTTTTTCCCGCCAGCCTTGCCCGGCCTGGCTAGCCGCCCATTGCCCAATTTAATTTGCCCAATTGATTGATGGCGGCATTTCTTTCGGCCTTTATTTAGACTTTGCCTCCGAGTTCGATTTGAATTGCATTGCCCAATACCGAAACGCAAGCACAGAGATCGACCCAGAGCCAAAGCAGGGCCCGAACCCGAAAATGTGTGTAATTACACTTGGTCGAGCGGTTCCCATTCAAACAGTTCGCCGAATTTAAAGGTTAAGACTCACCATTTAAAATTAACAGCCCCGCTAACACAATACCCGGCAACTGACAAAGACAACTCGGCGTCTAAACGGGCTAGAGCCGACTGGGGCTTTGTTCCAATTTTTATGTATTAAGTTTCGCAGGCGCCTTTGGCCAAAGGTAAAAATGTTAATTGGTGGCGCAAAAAGGCGAAACGCCTTCATGGTAAATGGGCGGCAGGGAAGAATACCCCCCTTGAAAACCTATTGAAGTCAGAAATAAAATGGGCAGACCAAGCCGTGAGAGCCATTGGGGAATCCCAAATTATGTTTAAAAAATGTAGAGAATAGTCTATGAGTAGAAAGCTCTTATGCATTTATTTTATTGTCTTCCGTCAGCTCTAACTTGGAAGTTATTGAGATTTCTTAATGAGTAATCAAGGTTTCTGACCTCCATATTGTACGTTGCTTATTTTTTCAAAAATTAAACAGTATGTTTCTTTAATTTCCGAAAGAAAATAAACAGTGGAGTAAAAAACTACTTGTGATTTAGGGGAATTTTGAATGAAAATAAATGGTGCAGAAACCCTTACTATACGCATTTGTTTGCTTTACCTAAGTTTAATTATCAACAACTTCTTTAAGTACTATTCTATTATTATATTTATTGTTTTCATAACCGATTTTCCACAGCTGTCACCAGGACTATTCTTCCGCCACTTCTCCTCAACAAACACTCATCTTGCCTCAACAAATTTTTACATTTGAATTGTTCGTATTGGGCCATAAACCCCTCCAACAACAACCACATACGCCCACGGACAACAAACAAAAAATAATCAAAATACAAGAAGCAAAAGTGGTAAGTAAATTAAGTAGCCGAGGAGAAAGGGGGGCGAGACATGATGGCGATACGGAGTCAGGCAGCTATGGGCCTAGATCTCTGGGTCTTCGGATCTGTTTCGTAAATTGTTCAAATAATAAATCAAGTTTCGTACACACACAAGAAATCAGATTTCAACTGCTGAAATTTTAGCTTGCCAATGGGAAATGTATTACTACAAGGTACTAATATTTTAAATGAGTTCTATGAACATGCTCCTTTAAAATGTATTTTTAGTGAATAGGCCAATGCAGGTTATGCATTTTTCTAATTCATGAATATTAATAGAAGTCAAGTTAAAATTATGTCAGCTTTCTTGAGGTATTACCTTCATTTTCCAAGGTATTTAACATTTTGTAACACCCAATTATATCATTATAAAATATCTTCTTTTTTGCTGTGTATACTTATATTTTCGGCTGGCTGGAGCATTGTGTTTATATAGTTGCATGCCACATTGATTTTATGGCTTTAGGTTTGGTTGTCGGCTCTTTTCTATCCATTATGGTTTGGCCAAGATGTGTTTGGCTGTTCCGTCTCGCGTTGGTACGTGTATTTTTCGGCTGGGTCTTATATTTTCTATATTTTGTGTACCCTTGCTGGGTATTATTATTTCAGTCAGAAGTTTGCAACGAAATGAAGAAGACATTTCCGACCATATAAAGTATATTTATATATGTTCTTGATCAGTATCACTAACCGAGTATGGCCATATCCGTTTGTCCGTTTAAAACTGTAATTTATAATTTATGTTGCATTAAGTATTAATGATCTTATTGCAAGCTGCAAGAGTATATAACCTTCGACTTGCCAAAGTAGACTTCCCTTCTTGTTCATTATTTCGCGAACTTATTATTTGTATAATGTGATCCGGCGCTCGCTCATTAAATTTCATTCATTGTGCAAATGAATGGCAATTGTTGCTCGCTCTGGTTGCATTTAACCGCCTCGTTTCTCGTATCATTATATGTCTGAGAGCTGGCCCAAATTGGGGGCGTCATCATCAGGGCGCCGATTGTTTGGGTCTGGCATTATCTTCGTATCTTTGACAAGCCACGATAGCTGCTGCTGGGAAATTGTCACAAGGTAGCTGCTGCTGCGGTCCGTGATGCAATCTGTGTATCTGTGGTTTTTGACTGTGGCCCAGTGAGCTTGCTAAAAAAGATATTGGGACAGATCTGTGGTGCAGGAGTCTTACATTTGATCTCATCTCTCATCTGCGGTCTGATCGTCTTCTGTGGGACCACTTTGGCCTAAAGCATTGGGAATAAAAACCTAGGAGCTGACTCGAGCTGATCTTAAGAATGTCCAATGCTATTGCGGTAAACATAAAATAAATTAAACATTTAACTAATACCTTACCTTGACTGATCTAAGTGATCCTACATGTGCTTAAATGCGAAAGGCAATTTGTTTTACAAAAATAATAATAGCCTGTTTTGGGTTTTTGCTTAGTGTACTATCTCCGACAAGTCAAGATAAATTAAAGATAATATTTAAGAATATGGTATACCTAATACCTTTCGTCTGGTGTTGTTTATCTCTTGGGCTATTTATTACATTATTTTCAGGTTTAATGTTAACTAGCCTTTTCTTTTCACTTGTTGTGAAAGACTAGGGAAATATTTCAGCGTAATCCCGTCTTTATTTTGACCACAACTGTCTCGTTACTGCGTCATTTTCGGTCAGCGAAATGCCACAAGGGAAGAGATTCGAGTTTGGTAATTGGTTAATGGTACTGGAAATACGGTGCCACTCGTTCGGTGACATAATGACACACAGAGACTGCGGGAAAAAGTCGAAAGCTGGATAGGTTGCTGGGAAAAAGCAGATGAACGAACGGCCAGATGGAGATGTCTTGCCATAACAAAGGAAAATCAACTCCGGCTGGTATACACGGAAGCCAGGGGAAATGCGGTCTGTGGGTCTAGTCTCTCTTTTTCCCTTTTCCCTCGTCCCCCTGCTATTTCGCGATTTTCTATGCATACATATAGAGGTTCCAGTAATTGCTGAAGATGTCGTAAGAGCGGTGAGATGTCTGGTAGCTTTTCTTTAGCTTTATTTGCTGCCTGTCTTTGGTTATACCCTTGCCGGGTATTAAAACATTTGTCATAAGCTTGCGACGCAGTGAAGAAGTCATTTCCGACCCGGGTATTAAAACATTTGTCATAAGCTTGCGACGCAGTGAAGAAGTCATTTCCGACCCTATAAACCATATATATTTATGATCAGTATCAACAAACTGCAACTTCGCCTTTTTAAAGTTATCTTCCATTTTCCTTTCTTTTTTCTCTTCCATCCGCTTGTTGCTGTTTAATTTGTTGGCTATAATTTCGCCCTTTTGTTATGTTATGGCTTAGTCAACTGCTCCTGACAAATTAGCGACTTGTGTTTTATTTTATTCCGACACCTAATTGAACTGTATCTGAATGTGAAATCGAAACTGAAGCTAAATCCAGTGACAAGTGGTGCAATCACAAAGTTGGGAATATTCGTGTGATTTGAATGCCGGTTGATAGAATTAACCTTCATCCTCCTTCGGGGGCTCCCCAAAAACGGAGAAACGCGAAGTGCTATGTGAGAAAAACAGCCCGCGAGAGCAACAAAGGCTGGTAAAGTGAAAGCGCTTTGCCACAAATCAAATGCGAATGGAGCTGATCCGAGTCGAGTCTGGCCATTAGCCGACTGGGTTGATGACTCCGAGCCCCATAATTCTCGGCTGCCAAACAAAAGCGCAGCGAAAAGTTTCACTTTCACAGCTAGCTAATTAAGTCGCAGTCCGGCGACTGTGAGATACAGATACAGTTGCAGAAACAGCTTCAATTCGAACACTTACCATGATGATGGATCGCTTCCTGATCCTGCGGCTTGGCCAGGGACCCGGATGCCAGCGAGAGCAGGACGATGCAGCTGCAGATTGCCAGGTGGTAGCTGAAAGTTAATCCTCTGCTGATTTCTAATGGTTTCGCTGATGCTTTGCTGTTCCGGCAGCAGCTTCTGCTTCGCAGCGCTGTCATTTTCTATGGTATCGTTTTCTTCTGTGGTGTGTTTTTGGGATTCTAGCAAAATATTAATTGCATTTCACTTTTATTTATACATGAAAATCAATATAGTTGCGTTTGGCTGGAAAAGCAGCTGTGGCAGCAGCATCAACATCGGCAACAATAGCTGAGCAGCAACAACTGCAAAGTGAAATTTCTCTTTCGGACATTCAAGAGGACTTAACGGTCAGGCTCAGGTTTGATTGCGGATTTTTTGTTTTGGTTTTGGTTTCGGCTTTGGTTTTGGCTTTTGCTTGTGTGCCGCCGAGTCGAAGAGCAAGTCTGGTTCACACATACATAAATGCGTACAGATACAGATACAAAACAGAAAAAAAAAAACAAAAATCAAAAAATACAGGCTTGGGAGCATATATGAGCAGGGGTCACGCACTCTACTTCGGCACTAAGCACCCTATAAATCAGGTCGGGTATGTGGATAATTATATCCACAGTGAATACAAAATTGCATTGAAAATAGTTACTTTAGTCGGTTACTTCAGTGCCCTTAAGTTCAAAATTAAGTTAAAATATTTAATACATAATATTAAAATACTACAAGTTCATCAATATATAATTAAATCTAAATAACGCATTAGTTACGGAGCAAGTCCCAAATGCAGTCAAACTATTCAATCTGGATCTTCCTAGTGATTATAATAAAATCGTATGCCAAAGAGCATCGGCACTTCGATCTTAAACCAAATAAAAGTTGTAACTTGAGCACATTGTGTTGCAGTTGTTTCTAAAAATGTTGGTGCTGCTGCTGGGGTTATTGTTGTTATGACTGTCATCTAATCGGCTTCGCATAAAAGTCATAAAAGTAAAATTTATTTTGTTAGCCGCTGAGCAGCGGCAACAAGTTAACTAAACAGGCAGCAACGACGGCAGCAGCTGCTTTTCTGCCACATGCAACGCGGCAAAAAAGACTTTCGCAACAATTTTATTTGGCCAGTTTGCAAGTTTTGTTTGTTGTTTTCGTTTTTGATTTTATTGTTGTAGCAGGAAACTATTAGCGCGGAACCGCAGCCATACACACTCACAAAAATCAAATCAAAAAGATTAATTCATTTCGGTTATTTGTAATATATTTGCATTTCGTTAGAGTTTTGAGTAGTTATTATTTCAAGCACTGGTGTGTTTCTTTTCCTTTTATTGCCAAGTTTTTAAATGCGGAAATGGCGTGCCATCAACTTTGAACACTTGAAAAAAAGTGAGAAAAAAAATAAACAGTTTTGGCAAAGTGAAAATGAAAGCGATGAAGCGAGCGCGCTAGGACTTTGATTATTTTGTATTTCTATGGAAGCACTTCCTAAGTAAATAACCACTGGCTTACGGGGCGTATTAATAATTGGTAGTAATTGTGGAAACGGGGGAATCGGCGAAAAATCGCACGTTCAAATCGCGCTTAAAGTTTCGGATTAAATCGCGACGTCTGACGAGCGCTCCCAACGAACGCCATCAACGGTCTGAGCCTCGCGCAGGCGCCGACATAAACTTTTAAGCCCGATCCCCATGTTGCAGCCAACAGAAAAATAGAGAAACCCCAGAGAGTCGGATACTGTGTTTATGCGTGACCAAATTCACGCATTCAATACAGGTTGTGCATAACCGCCAGTTTATGTATTCGGTAACACACGACGGTCGCAATAGAGGACCTGTTGTGGCCCTGTTAACCTTGCTCAGTTTAAATTAGGTAAAAACTCCGAACGATAATGCTAGTAAATTGGAAAATTTGAAAAACATTCCAACCTAAAATAGGCATTGAATAAAGTACGGGGAGTATCGGACTGATGTGTGGTGATATACCCAGATGAAGGGTAGCTTATCGAGAATCCGCTCACTCCGTGTTAATAAATTGCATGCATTTGTGTGTGTCGCATAAACAGCTGTTATTTCGATTTCACGTATCTAAAAATTCGGTTATTCCATAGCATAAACATGGCAAGAGAAAGAGCTAGAGAGTGGGAGAGCAACCGTATGAAACCTCCGATTGCTTTGAGGTTTTTTCGACTGAGAAAGCGTCTGGTTTTCATGAATGGAGCTCTAGCGCTACGATCAGCTGCTCGCTGCTCGCTTCTCGCCTTTCAGTGCTTGTGCCCCATAAAAACCTGTAGATGTTGTACAACTGATTTTCTGGCTGCCGCTGGCAGCTACCGCTTCGCTCTCCGGCAGCAGCCGCAGCTCCAGCCTCCGCTGTGCACGTGACGCCGCCCGGAAGAGTGTTGTTGGTTTCAGGGTGATGGGCACATAAGAAAAGGAACTAAGACACAGAATATTACAAATAAATAGCAAATAATGGATTTTAGGATGAAAAAGTACGGACTGCAATATCCGGTTTACTTCCACCCCAATTTGCACTTCACTATTTCGTTATAGCTTAAAATTAAAAAGAAACCTTGCCCGGAGAAATTTTCGCCGGCACATCCCACTGGTCTTTCGCCATTTCCTAAAGTGCGGGGCGAGCTGCCTGTCCCGCACCATCAAATTAATCTCCATATCTAAATCCCCTTCTGCGGCTAATCAATCTTTGGCCTAAACCTGCAATGGGCCGTAAGCGCTATTAGTCTTGACATACTCGTGCGCCAAAAGGGACAAGATAACAAGCCTGCGAAGCTTTTGCATTAGGTAAGAGTTCGGACATGACTCAAATCGATGGCCAAAACTATATGGTGGGATGGATCTATTAATAAGGAATCTTATCGAATGGTTTTCATCGCTGATCTAAGCGCGATGACCGCGAAGTAGTTGTTTGCGATCAGTTTTCACGCTGATTACACACTCCAGATTCGGTTTATCGTACGCGGCACCGAACTTGGATTAGTTTGGGTAGATTTTAATTATTTTCATAAATTTAATTACCTCAATATAACCTTGCACGGGTTAACGATTCTTTCTTGAAGAAACTTTGCAAATGTTTCTAAGAAGGGGTCGCAGATTTTATACTCTGACTTTACGAAAAAAATATATAAAGTAAATAAAAATTAAATAATTGTGAGGAAAAACCTTAAAGAACTATAACGAAAAGAAAATAATTTGTGGAATACATAAAATGTTTAATTATGTTGAAAACAATCGTATTGCGCATACGACAGGGAGTCCCAATTGTAAATAAAAGTTTTATAAAGTTGAGTTATAATTAATATATATAAATTATAGGGAATTGTGGTAGATAACCTTAAACAAATACCATAAAAATATAGTTTTGTGATAGAAAAATTATGCCTAATTATTTATTCTAAATAAAAAGATTACTCATACGACAAGGTGTACCTTTGCAAGTAGATATTTTCTACGAAAACGTTAAAAATGTAGATATGTTTATATAATATTAGGAATTGTGAACGGAAAACCCTAAAAATAAATATCAGAATAATATATTAGTATACTTAAATATATATTTATATTAATAAATATTACGCATACGACTAAGTGTCCCGAGATTAACTATATATTTTTTATACTTTCATCTAAACAAGAAGTACAAATATTTTTAATGTTAGGTAGTGTTTTAGTAAAAGATAATCTTAAATAAATATCATATATATGATTTATTTGATAACAAAAACAAATATTACGTATACGACTAGAGGTCTCAATTATAAAATAAATGAATAGACTAAATGATTATGAAATTATATAATTGGAAACAAGCTAAATTTTGAGTCGCAAATATTTATGAATAATAATATTTAGTGAATTTTTTAGTCATGGTTTTTAGGTTTTCATTTTAATTTTAGGCCTGAACTTTAGGCTGGTTTTCATAAACTTGGGTTTGAATGCCTCTTCGCTTTTTCGCCTTTTTTGCTGTGGGGGTATCCTGTACTGATGAGTCGATGACGGTTCCTTGGAGTGCGCGGGTGGGTGCGCATCTGTCTGTGTGGGTGCGCGCATTGCTTTTCCGCTTAAGGTTCAGCTGCGAATATTAGTCAAGTCAAAGGTTTATCTCACCTTTTGCTTTCCTCTGAGGCAAAAATAAACAACCCTTTTATATGCACTTTGGCACTCAGTTCGTTTGCGTTGTGTGGGCGTATTTTCTGGCCCAACGACGAGGGGACGTCTCTTCCGCCAAAGTGCCGCTGTCTGGGGAGCGCAGCTTTTACCGCTAATAGCAGGTAAAAATTGGAAAAATTGTGGCGAATCTGGGGAAAACCAGGGCGTGCCTCTCGAGTCGGGGCTTAAAAAGCAATTACGCACTCTTCGCAGTTGTCGCCGATGTCGATGTATGAGACTCCAGTCTGGGTCTGCATTTCGCGACGACTTCCTGCTCCAGGCCTCCTTCAGGCGAATCTACTTCCCGACTGTCATTAAATAGATAGTTTTCCTTTTATGTTTTATTTCTTGGCTATTATGACTGCATATACACGTTTTGACCTCGGCTCCCTCCCTGCGGCCATGTCCAACTGGTTGTGACACATGTCCATGTACCTATTTGTATTTTGCCTGCCCTACGGATACCATCTTAATGAAATATTGTACTTTGTCATCTATAAGCCCTTTCCACTAACATATATACGTCGAACTGGGCAAGATCGGACGACCATATCATACTGCTCTTATAAAAACAATCGTTAGAAGGGAAAATTGTAAATGTAAAAATGAAACAGTAAAACTGTAAATGTCATATGTAAAGTTAAATGTAGTGAAAGTGTTTAAAAATATATATAATTTCTATAGAATTAATTATTAATGATCGAGTTGCAATATGCAAGGGTATACAATCTTTGGCGTGCCATAGATAGCTCCCTTTCTTTTTTTTTTTGTTCTAATGTCCAGATTTTTAAAGTTTGAAAGTAAAAAAGTAAATATATGGCCGACTCTTGCACATTTTTGTAATTGCATATTTTTAGGGTGCCTATATATAAGGAAAGTTTTAATATCTAGCACATTTTTAAGCAGAAGATCGAATTCCGCTGATTTTCTCGCTGACTTCATTGACAGAGCTTCATGTAGAAAAAAAACATAAATTTCCCTAAATTCGCCCCTACAAATTGTTTGTTTGTCAATTTCCCGTTAACACTAATTGACGCAGAAAGACTTATTGCATTCAATTTAATGACTATTTCGCTTAGTTGTGATAGAATTGAAATAAATGATTCCGAGCAAAACGGATAGAGCGATCAAATCTAACTAATGATTCGAATTAAAAAATTGGGAGAAAACTTTCTTTACTTTATTACTATTGATAGATTCAGCCATGATTGCGTTGTAGTTCAGTTTAATTTATACAATATTAAAATTGCAAAGCCGGTTATTATTATAAATCTTTCGGAAAAGCAGTGTACTGCTTGGCTAGTATTTCGAAGTACTGCTTATATTCCTTCATTGGCTTAAAAACATAGCTCAAATCAATGCATTAATTTCGATAAGCCTGTTCTGTGCTAGTTTTAAATAGGTTAAAAAATCTTCACACTCAATTTAAAGTGTAAAAAATGTGAACTTTCGATCAAACGACTCCTTCACTACGTGACAAGCTTCCGACTGAAACTGTAATACACCCTTTATTCGCATTTTTTGTAAATTTGTACCTATATTTTTAAGACATTTTACAAAGGGTAATGCACCTTCAGTCAGAAGCTTAAAAGAGAGTGAAGGAGGCACTTCCGACCCTATAAATCATATATATTCTTGATCAGCATGAAGAGGCAAATCTTTTAGCCATCTCCGTCCAAAAAAATTTTTTTTTCAGAAACTTTCTATTTTATTAAAAAAAAGAAAGGAGTTGCATCATGAAAATTCGCAAAAATCGGACAAAAATTCACATTTTAAATGGGGTATGTAGTTTTATTACCCCCTAAAAATTAACATACGGCCGCTTTCCGAATTGAAATTAATGCGTTTTTGGCTTAGTTATGAGATATTTATTCCCTTGCAGGGTATTATAATTTCAGTCAGAAGTTTGCAACGCAGTGAAGGAGGCGCCTCCGACCATATAAAGTATATATATTCTTGATCAGAATCAACAGCCGAGTCGATCTGGCCATGTCCGTCTGTTCTTCTGTTTGTCTGTCCGTTTCTACGCCAACTAGTCTCTCAGTTTTGAAGCTATCTGAATGAAACTTTGTAGTTAGCCTTCTATATACTCTCACTCGTATACTCGTCGGAACGGGCAGGATCGGACGACTATATCATATTGCTGCCATAGGAATGATCGGAAAATTTTTACAAACAATTTTTTAACTTTTTCAGTTTTCAATAGAGTTAGATCAAATTTGAGATATAGCCATTTTATATTATTCTACAATTTTGTGTAAAATTTTATGAAAATCGGACTAATATATCATATAGCTCCCATAGGACCGATCAAGAAATTTGAGAGAACTGAGAATGGCGGTGGCTGTTGTCGGGCGACTGACAATCGCGGTGACGATAACATTTTCAGTTTTCAACAGAATTTAATCAAATTTGAGATCTAGCCATTTTATATTATTCTACAATTTTGTGTAAAATTTTA